GGGCAGCAAACGCGTCAAACAGCTGAGGAGCCGGCACCGCAGCTGTCGCGAAAGCCCACAATATGTTCGTGAGCTCCTGCGGCTTAAACTCCATCGCTCGTTGCAGCGCCGCACGTTCCAACTCGTTCCACATGATGACCCAGGCGCTGCCGCTCGGCCTCAGCTTGCCCACGGCGTGCGCAATGTTTGCCAGCCCCTGGACGCTCGAAAAGGTTGGCAGGCGCTGCACAGTCTGGCCTCTGAGTCCCCAAAGCCGCTCGCCGTCGCCGCCCAGCAGCCGCGCTCGGTCCGCGCCGCGAGCTCTGCCGAGGCCGGACCAGCAGGTCGCAAGGTTGATGTCGTTCATTGAAGGACCGTGCTGGCCGTAGAGGTGCAGCAGCTCGTCTGTGCCCCTTGCGTGCGAGAGCCGCGTGTTAATCTGCTTCGGGTGGAGCCCGTTGGCGGGGGCTGCCGTCCGGCGAGCACCCGCCATGTGATCAACCCCTGGTGTGGTGACCTTTCCGGGTGTTTTCTTCGGCTTCAGCTGGTATCTCTGTTTGGTCGCGAAGAAAAGAAAATCATACGCGGAAGACATCACTGATCGGCAAGCCAGTCGCCCCAGTCCACTCAACGAGGCTCTCAAAAGTCAAAACGACCCCCACCGGCACCGCCCACACCGCGCACCGCGCACGCACGCACCGCACATGCGCGTGCGGTCTCTCGAACCCACGCGCGCACTCGCGACTCCGACAGCCGACACACACACTGCTCCCGAGAGCGACTCACACGAGCGACCCGGGAAGGGAGCGCCACACCGGTCGCGCCGCGGTCACCGCGTTCTCGGCCGCTCCCCGTCTCCCCGAGCTCTCCCTTGCTCTAACGACTACTCGTCCTCCTCGCTCTCCTCCTCGCTGCCCTCGTCGTCGCTGTCCTCGTCGTTGCTGCCCTCGTCGCTGCCCTCGCCGCTCCCTCGTCGCTCCCCTCGTCGCTGCCCTCCCCGTCAGAGGAGAAAGGGCGTGCTCGGCTGGCTCGCTCACACCTCCATCTTCTTTGGCAGCAGCTCGTCCTGCTGGTCGCCGTGGCCCAACTGGCCCCCGCTCCCACAGCCCCAGCTCCAGACATGGCCGCCGGCGGTGAGGGCGAGGCTGTGGGTGTATCCAGCCGAGACAGCGACGACGCGCTGGCCAGCAAAGGCCTCGATCTTCTTCGGCAGCAGCTGGTCCTCCACGTCGCCGTGGCCCAGCTTGCCACGGCCTCCATCGCCCCAGCTCCAGCCTTTTGCGCCGCGCCACCATCATCCGGTCTCTGCATTTGGATGGCCTCGACCTTCTTGGGCAGCAGCTGCTGCTGCTCGTCGCCGTGGCCCAGCCGGCCCCTATATCCATAGCCCCAGCTCCAGACGGCGCCATCGGCGGTGAGGGCGAGGCTGTGGTCGCCTCCCGCCGACACGGCGACGACCCGCTGGCCAGCAAAGGCCTCGATCTTCGTCGGCAGAAGCTGGTACTGCTCGTCGCCGTGGCCCAGCACGCCCTGCCCGCCGCAGCCCCAGGACCAAAGGGCGCCGTCCGCGGAGAGAGCAAGGCTGAAAAGTCCTGACGCCGCCACACCAATCGCGCGCTCGCCTCCGCTCGGCGCGTAGCCGCGGATGCGTGCCGGTCAGTGCCGGCCACTATGTAGTCATTGTCGTCCCCGTCCTTGCGCGTCGTCGCTCCACACACAGTGCGCGGTGGCTGGTTAGTCTGGTCCTAAGAGAGGCTCTCTCTCTCTCGTTGTCTATGGCTCTTTACAATTAAACATGCCCGAGAGCGAGAGAGATATCTAGCGGGCGCCGTCAACGGATATCTAGCGGCTCCCCTCGCGATATTTGAAATTTGTGCGAGGGCACAGCAGCCTCTTGCCGCCGCTGCCAAAAGTGGGCTGGGTGAAGTCTGAAGACTGAACAGAGTGAAGTTGTGCCAGGCAGGCATGGTGGCGAGAGAGCGTGGCGAGACCGAGAGCCATGTCGCATGTGCATGTGTGCTTTGTTAAGATTGTTATTAAGAACCAAAAGTGGAAACGGAAAATTACACGAGCGATGATCTCACGAGTACTCATAGTCATACAGCGCGGCCTCCAGCTTCCAATGCAGGTACTCGCACTTCGCGTGGATGCCATCCAGCCGGTCCCATTCCCAGAACGGAACTGAAACCAGCGGCCATCCCGCCGCGCGCAGCTGCCGCCGCTTGAGGGCCGTTGCGCCGGTGGGCCGCTGTCCAAAGAAGTGCAACGGCCCATCCACCTCCACCGCCACGTTGTGCCCGCGATAGGTGACAACCGCATCGAGGCTGATTTGATCCATCGTGCGCATCTCCTCCATGGGCGAGAGGTTGAGGGAACGAAGCGTGCTGGCGACGTCGCTTTGCAGTCGCGATGGCGTAACTTCGACGCTGTGGAAGGCCTCGCAGCAGCGCTGGCTGAGAGGGAGGGGAAGCTGCGGCCAGTCCACGCCGCGCTCCCGGAGCCAGACCTGCCACTGGTGCAGCTGAGACAGCTCCTCCACCACGAGGCCAGAACAGCAGTTGCAGAGGCTGACGACGAAAGCGGGGCCGCCAAAAAGGGCCGGTGCGAGGTGGTCCGCCGCTGCGTACGCCCACGCCAAGTTCGCGAGGTCCTGCGATATTAGCCCGCCCATTCGCG